AAGGTTGTTGTACTGTACAGCCAGTTACAAAGAACACATTTGAAAAAAACCCGTCCACCATTGCAAAATATCTGGGTTTGAGCAGTCCTCAGAAGTACACAGATCACTGCCTGCGTCGGACTTTGGCAACTCTTCTGACAGAAAATGTAGCCAGTATGACCACGGTGAAGCATCATGGTGGATGGAAGAGTACGTCGGTTGCTGACAGATATTTAGAGGACAGCATATATTCAAAGAATAAGGTTTCAAGAATGCTATCAGGCATACCTTCTGGATCCGGCGTTTCCGTACAAAAACTTGACACCCAAGCTATGAAACAAGAGTCATCGTTTGCCGCGGGTAATCTAAATATCACCGGATACTTTCAGAATTGCCAGTTTCATGTGAATTCTAAATAATGTTTTGAAATGTTGTTAAATAAAAGATATTTTTTATGTTATCTTTACGCCCTTACGGACCATACAGTACACTTTATACCCGTTCATGCCCATAGTACACTATTACGTAGTTGGTAACTAATCAGTGAGTATACATATTTCATAAGTACACCATTTTTTTAGTCTTTATATTAGTTACATTTTTACTACAAATATATTTTTCGATAAATAGCTTCACTTTTTGAGTTATTTTTGAAAAACCGTCTAAAAACGTAGTCTTTATTTTGAAAAATTAACATTTTTACTCGCAGTTAACTCAAAAAGTATGGTCTCAAAAAGTGAAAAAATTCTATAAAATAAAAGTGGCTTACCATTAGCCAATTTATCCATTTCCTGACTTATTTTAAATGTATATATTTTCACCAACCATATTTTTGTGACGAAAAAAATTACACTCCAATACGGTCTTAGAAAAAGTATTAGAAAAGACAGTCCAAAACAGTCACTCGAGCTATTCATCTCCCAAATTTGTCGGACGAAACCGATTCACTTGAAATATAGCGAGTTATTAAAGTTCTCAAATAACAAAAGTTATAAAACGCTGATGTATGCTTCCGTCCCAGGGGTTGTTGCAACCCCTTGTAGGGAATGGGATTTTTTTGCTCAAAATAATTACAGGAGTCGATAGATAAACTCTAAGCAACTTTTATTCTATAGAGTTTTTTAAAAAAGTCCATACTGTTTATGATTTAACACAATTAATTCTCATTAAAAAGTCACGTTTTTATTGTTTCTTCATTAATAACTCAAAAAATATGCCTTTGATCGAAAAAGTATGAAAACATAAATGAAGCTTATAAAAGAAGAATGAGATTTTTTACAAGATATTCTAAATACAACACAAAGTGAGATATGGTCGGTAAAAAGAGACATTTTTTTGGAAATATTTGGCAGAATGTATTCAACGATAAATTGTAAGAAAGTGTTGATTTTTTGTAGGTAATGATACCAAACTTTTTATAGTCCACAAAAAGACTTTTAAAATGAGCACTACAAAAAGTCTTTTGGTTATAAACGGTTTGGAGCGTGAAAAACATCGTATTTTGGAGCTTTCACATATATCTAAAGTACCCATATAGACCAGGGTCGATAATTTTTGAAACCAAAAAAAATTATAGTGGAATGAAACCTATTGTAAAAGGAAGAGAAATGCTAAAAATAAAAGAAAAAATAAATTCCATTCCATCCGAGGTCGGGAAGTGGGAGGGGGTGAGTTTTTAAGGGTAAAAATCGGTTTATCGCGATTTTCGGCAAAACTACAAGTGCTACGGAAAAAGTTTAAAAGACAAAGTTGTAGGTAATAAAAATATTTACAACTCTTGCATTTACACTTTTTTCACATAACCTCAAAATTTTTGTGGAAAATTCAAAAAACAAAGTTTTTGGTTTTTTATTTTTACCCTTTAAAAAAAAAATTTTACGAAATTTAGTGAAAGCTTGCCTTAGTATGCACCAAACACACTGTAATTTTTTGGAATTGAAAAATTTATTTTTTTACCAGATATTGATTTAATATCGAAAAAGCACCCTAATTTTCAATCGAAAATTCACGCGTCAAAATATCAGCTTTTTTAAAAAAAATCTGTGGGCGTTTTGTTTGTGGAAATCTCTACTTTCCAATAGTGTAAAAAAATATACATGACTATAGCAAATGTTTTCAAAAACGCAAAAAAACCAAAAAAAACTCAAATCGAAAACAATTTTTTTTCTTTATTATGTACAATTTTGAGATATTTCTTATAATTAATACTGTAATTAGTCATGTAGCTTAAGATTTCATGATACGTTGATAAAAATATTCAAGATTGGATTTAAAGGGACTTTCATCAAAAAAATGTGACTGCTATACGATTTTTTTTACAATTAAAAAGTTGGTTTATTAATGTTTAATTACATTTTTCTCATGGACAATCTTACAATATATATGTTTATGATGTATATATTTATAATATTTTTTAGGGCATTAATTTTTGCCTATTTGATGGCATTCCTTCGTCACCTTCTGATTTTAGAAGATCTTCGAAATCTTAAAGACCATCACCGTCTTCATCTCCAATATTGTTTTCTGTCTGCGTTACTTTCTCATCCACAATTTCATCAGAATCATTATTCTTAATTTGTTCGTAGGCTTTTTCCAAACAGGCAAACCGTGTTTTCGGCAACCACATTTTAAATTGTTACATCCAGTTTCACAGCTGCAACAAATAGTTTTAAGCAGTATTTTCTGAATAAATTCCTTTTCTGTAAATTTGGGCATAATGGCTCGCTGCTGTTGTTTCCAGCCCCAAACTGTTCTGTCAGTTCGTTGCCCAGCCATGTTTGAAGCTGATAATATGCCCTGTAACAATGTTGTTCTGCTGCACCTTCTGTGGGTGGGAGATTTACCAAAACGAAAGATGATTTGATTTTTGCCAATTGGTATTTTTGAAATCGTAATTGATTTAGCGTTAGCTTATCATTTTTGCACTTATAAATGGATTTGATTAGTTGTAATCCATTTTTTGCGATTTTGCCATTTTTTATCTTGTTTATTTGACAAATTTTTAGGGTCTAATAATGAATTTACGATACTTTTCTTTCCTTTCCCGGCAAATCCAGATGTTGTATCGCAACCTGAAAAACAATGCAGAAATGCAGAATGAATAACTTTCTTATAATATTGCAAATATAAACATTATTAACTTAATTGATTGTTAATTATAGTAGAATATTCCAGTTTATATTTTTTTTTATTTGTCAATGTACCATGAAATCTTAAGCAACATGAGTAATTACAGTGTTGTTAATTTTAATAAATATCTCAAAATTGTACATAACGATGAAACAAAAAAAAATTTTCGATTCGAATTTTCTTCGTTTTTTGCGTTTTTTGAGAACATTTCCCATGGTAATGTATATATTTTTTACACTATCGGAAAGTAGATATTTCAACGAACAAAAAGCCCACCGACTTTTTGAAAAAAAGCTGATATTTTGATGCATGAACTTTCGATTGAAAATTAGGGTGCTTTTTCGATATTAAATCAATATCAGATAAAAAAATAAAATTTTTAATTCCAAAAAATTACAGTGTGTTTGGTACATACTAAAGCAAGTTTTCATCAAATTTGGTAAAAAATTTTGTTTTTGTAAAAGATAAAAATAAAAAACCAAAAACTTAGTTTTTTGAACGTTCCACAAAAATTTTAAGGTTATGTGAAAAAAGTGTAAATACAAAAGTTGTAGATCTTTTTGTTACCTACAACTTTGCCATTTAACTTTTTCCATACCACTTGTAGTTTCGCCAAAAATCACGATAAACCGATTTTTACACTAAAAAACTCACCCTCTCCCACTTCCCGACCTCGAATGAAGTGGAAATAATTTTTTCTTTCATTTTTAGCATATTCTCTTCCTTTTCCAATAGGTTTCATTCTACTAAGATTTTTTTTTTATTTTTTTCTTTTTTTAAAGGCTTCGACACTGGTCTAATAACAGTTTTGTAGATAAAAATCTTACCAGAGACACCATCAAATAATATTGAGTGCTTAGTACTGTTTATGTAAAGAAATATCGTTTTATAAGCAAGAAATAAATTTTTGATTATCTAAATGTGAAATTAAAATATGTTACACTCCAAATAACATTCTTAAGCATTTTTTTACATGAAGGGATGCTTTCTAAGGATTAAAAGGAACCAAAGAAAAATTATGTCACAAGCGATGAATTGTTATTGATTGTAATTCCTAAGTTAAGCATTTTACGTCGTAAAAAATTATTTTAACATTATTTACGTCATAAGTGGTGATTTTGAAGGGTTGCAAATTTGTATTAAAGTACAAATTATCAATAAATATGTTTATTTATTCAACTCGCTTAATTACGTGTTTTTCATTTAGAGGTAGTTTTAACCCGTTAAAAACAAAAAGCACTCTTTACCCGCATATAAATTTACAAAGAAGGGTAAGACAAGAATAAATCCAAATTTTCAGCTAAATCCATGCAGTCAGACAGAATTGAGATGTGAGCTCCTATTTTCTGCCTGAATCACTGGACTAATAGCAGTGGGAGCAGACCATGTTGAACTATTATTTTAAGTGTGTTCTTTTAAAATAAACTAATTATAATTTTACTTCGTTTTACTGTTTGGTATTGAATATACTTTTGGATATTTCGAACTATTCAATTGAGTTATTCTCAAAACCACAAAGAACATAAAAATCCTGTAAAATGCGTAATTCAGACTGTTAGACTGTGATTTTCTAACAATTAAACCTTTATTTCAACATTTCATTTATCTTGATATAGTAACAAAATGCTGAATCACACAATCATATCGTAAAAAGCAGAAAAACACACCTAAAATATCGTTAAAAAACAAAAACTACACTTTCATTATTTGACTATTTATTTTTTTATATACTTACGGATATCTGCCGGTATGGTAAGCTTTAAGACGGTAACGACATTGAATATATTTTTTCTTCAATTGGTAGAATTACGTACCATTGGTCTAGTCAATAACCTGTTACAATAACAATAATTGTTCTAAACGCGGATAGAAAGATCTATATGAACGAAGGTCATTTCTTGGGTTTGCTATTGTATAAAAGACCAGGGTAAAGGGGTGGTAGGTATCAGTTCATTTCAACGACTTGAACAAGTTTTCAACATGAATTCTTTGGTAAGAGATAGGGTTTTATTTAATAAATTTCGTCTTGAAGTATAAGAAAATAGTGTAATAAAGTTTTTCACAACAGTTTTCTACATTTTTGGTTTAGATTTCATTGCAGATATACGTACTAATAAAGAGTATTTTTTAATGCAAATGTACTGTATCTGTTGTCTACTTTATTATTGCTCTTTATTCGCTATTTTACTTCAAACTTACTTTAAATTACGTTCTATCTTTTGTCCTGACTAGTTTTTGCTTTTTGATTGCTCTGGAGTATACATATTTTCCGATCAAATTTCATTTTGAACTTTTCAACTCTTAGACGATATTATAATTTATTTTTACTATTTCATATTTAAGGATACTTTAGCCTTTGTAAATATTTTGTTGCATTTATATCTTTTGTGATCTTCTGAACGACTGTAGTTGCCGTTAGTTTTACAGATGTCTTCTCCCTTTGTATTTCAGCACAATTCTTCACCCAATTTTTTCGTACTCACTACTTTTCTAATGGAATTTGCTCAGCGTATATTGTGGTCTTCGTTGCTTTTCTTGCACTTTTCTTGTATTCAAGTCATTCGACGCTATTCTTTATAGTCGCGTTTTCTTCAATCGTACCACTATGTCAATTATAGCTTTTTTCTCGTTCTTTATAAGTGTCTTGGTATATATGTCAGTTTAGAACATCTTTTGACGTTGCTAGGCGTACTGCCTTCATTTTTCTATTAGTTTTCCCAGTCTAATATGTTTAGTTTTCCGACAATCGCTACGTTTTCGGACACATTTCAACATGCTGTATACAATAAATATTTTGTCTTCCTTCTTTCTGACATTATGTCGTTGCCAATATATTATTTGTTTAAAATGTATTGTTTCTTTTTATTGTAAATAATGTCACTGAAACAGGATATTGCTGTTTTTCTGGTGTTAGTTTTCTTCCTATTCCTTGGTTGTCACTTACAGTTAAGATTTACCCCCAGACAGTTATAGACATGGTACTATGTTATTGGTCTACTATTACTTAATTTTAAATCTCTAAGTTCTCCACCGATACGGAAATAGGCCTTGTATACCGTTTTTGTTTATAATTTATTACATTTAGATCGTATAATATCGTTTCGTTATTAAAAAGATAGGTAATTTACTTAATAGAGACACTGAACGCGACGATTTTCTCATTTTCTACATTTTATATTCAAAAATCTTCAACCGTTTTTTTATTTTTTATTTACGTCATCTTTTCAAGAACATTTTCTGTTTGATCTGATTTTACAACATTCCGGTATTTTACATAATCAAATGTTTTATTAAAATCAAAAGTAATATAGAAAAAATATTTGCGAGATTCGACCAAAGATGGACGTAAATTGTTGTTGACGAAACAAAATACTTCTGCAAATATACAAACAAATTTTCACCAAAATTTATAATTTGATTTGACAACTAATATACATTTAAAGAAATTCTTTTTTATCAAAACTTAGTTCCTAGATTACCTTTCTCTTTAAATTTACATTTTTTTTATTATCATATGCATTTTTGTCTTGTCTCAATGTTTTTTGTTGTTCTTCCAATATTATGACCGTATAGCTCTATTATGTATTTTCCTTCATCCTTCGTTTATATTAATATTTTAATTTTTTAAAAGAATATCGTAACTACGTATTCATATTGGCATCTCTTCTCCTTCTTCTTCTTCTTCTTCTTCTTTTTCTTCCTCCTCTTCTTTTTTATTGGCAATAATACTGGAGACTTTGCTGCCTCCTAGGCAAATTTGGATTTCCTTACAATCAAAGAGCTGATCGACCCAGCAAATGGCAATCTAGTCGCGTATATTCTTCAACTATGATGCTTGTTTCTAATAGCTCTACTTTATTATTTTCTTTTTAACTTTATTATTAGTACTAAGATAAGATACGGGTTGTCTAGAAGAATGTAAAATAGATAACAAATTGTTCATCATTTTGTGTTTGTTAAGTATTTTCAAATAATGTTAACCATTTATAGGACTTCTTTGATTATTTTTCTGAATATGTATCCGTAGCAGTATTCTCAAAATTAACATCTTTAGACCCTCTAGTCTTTATAATAGCTTTTTTCAGAGTCCAGATTTCAGTACCGTATAAGGATGATAACCATATGTAAGATCTTACATCCTCTGTAGTAGTTTAAAGGCCCGTTTTCACGCTACGTCTTATTGTACGTTTTGTTGGATATGACAAATCCTATACAATAAAACGTGGCATGTAAACAGCAAAACGTACGTCTTGTCGAATCGAAATGAAATCCAAACGGAAGGAAAAACGTAGTGTGTATACACTGGATAAAACGTACATTTTGTCGTACGTTATATATGACCCACACAACGTACAATAAGACGTAGTGTGAAAGCGGGCCTTAAGATTGATATCATTTCAGAGTACGGTTTTCATAGATAAAATACTTTTTTAGGGCTCAAGTCTCATAAATCTAATTGATGATAATTTTTAATACTGTTATGAATGCCGTTTGCTTATGATAATTGTTTTCTTGCTTCTTCTAGGTAATTCTTACTTTCGTTGCCTTGGCAGCCACCGCTTCTGCCTCTCACGTCGGTTTGGGCTGGGGAGGATTAGGATTAGGAGGACTAGGATGGGGCCATGCCGGCATCGTCAACCCCCATGCCCTTAGTCCAATTGGACCCTCTGGAATCGTCACCGGAGCCGGAGCAGCCGGTCCCTCTGGAGTAGTAACCGGAGCTGGAGCCGTTGGACCCTCAGGAGTCGTAAACGGACATGGAGCCGTAGGACCAACTGGACCCAACGGTGTTGGTGTTTGGGGTTTGGGTTTGGGACATGCCGGTTTAGGTCTTGGTGGATTAGGACATGGATGGGGTGCTGCACATGGATGGTAAACGAAAATAATTAGGTCAAAGAAGTTGTTTTGTTGTGTTTTGTATAAATAGAACTGAAAAATATAAAAATTTAAATAAACGTTGTACATACATTAAACTTTTGTCTTTCACTACTTATACCTTGTGCTACAGTACTTTTAAAAATATAAAAACGTTATAAAGGTATTTGATATAGTTTGAGAGAAATAAATGTAGAATATAATGTATTACAACATGTGTAGAGCAAAAATCCAGCACAAAACTCTATTATCCCTAGTTGCATTAGTTTTTATTATAATAATATAAAAAATAGAATATATATCTTTATTTTGTCAACGACGTGTATTTTAAAACGTCGGAGCAGATTCAAACGTCAGAAAAAATGGATACATGTAAAAAATCGCTAAAGAATTGACACTGGAAATATTAAAAACTGAAAAGTTTAAAACGGCTTAAAGTAATTATTATTGGATAATTGATCAGCTATATATATATATATATATATATATATATATATATATATATATATATATATATATATATATATAAATTCTTTAACATAACTCCATGAGGAACCTATGCACCAAGCTTCAAGATTGTCCAACTTTTCATACAAGAAAAACCAAAGGCATAAAAATGTGATAAAAAAATCTACAAAAACACGAAGATAAACAATGGGAATGAAAAAAGTGTAAAATCATTATACCAGAGACGTCAAAAAAAAATCCTTGATGTGTATAAAAAGAACTGAACAACAATGGTTTGATCAAGGATGTAGATATCTAACAGAAAGAGAGAGAATGAAGTCATAAAAAGCATCGATAAAGGAAGAGTATGCCGAATGGGGAACCAGTAAAAACTACCGAGCAATTAATTTACTGAATGTAACATATAAAATAATGACTGGTATAATAAGAGACAGACTAACAATATACACAGAACAAAGCCTTGGAGATTACCAGTGCGGTTTCAGAAAAGGAAGATCTATGAAAGATGCTAACCAACGAAAAAACTAGTGATAGAGAACACATGCGAGTACGACTAAGAAATACATATACTTTTTCTAGACTTTAAACAAGCGTTTGACAAACTAAATAAAAGGAACTAAAATCCAAGACTTACAAGAGAGTAAAATACCAAATAACATTATAAGAATGATGAAAATGACAATGCGAGAAGATTCCCAAGCAACAATAAACACCAGAAGAGAAAGAGCTCTAGTAGCATACTCTGATAATTATATTCCTATAATTGCCAGAGTAATCGGTGCGATTTAATTTAGTGTGTCTTCTTACAAACTCCTTCTGATGACGGGTAGACCGAGAAACACGTGTTAGGGAGTGATAAGAGACTCAAATAAAATCGAATCGCAACCTTCTTCATATATATATATATATATATATATATATATATATATATATATATATATATATATATATATATATATATATATACAGAAAAATTAGTAGATATTGCTCAAGTGTCCCGTGTTTGCGTTGTAATTTACTGCATATTTTTCTTTTTTAATATGACACATTTCTAAAAACAATCTTTTTTTGTAACTGTTCTCTTGTTATAGAACCTTGACATAAGTAATGGTCAACTACCGCACATGTATTCTTCTTTTTTGTGCAGTCACTTTTGTGTTGTGTGACCCTTTGTTTTAGCCATTCATTGAGAAGTTTGGACAAGATAACAGCTCTGACAATTAAAAAAAGGCAGTTTGTAGATAACATTAGTTTTATTTAAAGTTGGTGTCTTGTCTTTTACTTTAGAAAACAGTTGTCGGTTTTCTAATAAGTTACATTGGACAATTTTAATGTTAGTAAATTGTTTAAATAAACTAATCACAGAAGGTGTTAACTGAATTATTAATGGTAGTTTTTTATATTGGATTGTTTGTACTGCTCCGATATCAGTCGAACCGTCAGACATGTTTAAATTAAATTCTTAGTATGTTCTACTAATTTTTCTGTTTACAATTTTATTTTAAATCACCCTGTATATTTTTAAAGTGTATTATAACTGTATATTTTTAAAATTTGTTTAATTTACTGTTTGTATTTTGAGAACGATTTCCGAAGTGAAAATTGAAACGTCAATAAACGTATTTTTATCTTTAATTGTGGCTTATTCCCAGTTAAATAGTAATTAGAGAGTTTGGTGTTTTGCAGAAAACTCACGATAAATATTGATGAAGGTCGCGAGCACAAGCCTCTCTTAAGTCTAAACTAATCTAGACTTTTGTTAAGGAAATAATGTTATTAATAAATTCAAATATAAAATAATTTAGAGAAAGACAAGCTAAAAATACCTAATGTAAAGAGCAGTGAAGAAAATAGTTCAAATACAAAAAAACTTACCTTCTGAAATTATTGAGTTCTGCGGATATCTACAAAAAAATATAGAGTAAATAACTTAAGATATTTAATAAAAATATTACTAACAAGCAAAAAATTAAAACAAATAATTTTATTATCACATGTGCATATTTAAATGTCACTTTTTGAAGTCAAAAATAACTTTTTTTTGGCAATAATAAGTATATTAAAAAAAAGAAGCAAAAAAAAGGAACACACGCGATTTTTGTTTTTTGCCTCATAATTTTTTCCACCGGAGTATATGTATAGGATTTTTAGTAGAAAAAAAATTTATTTTCCTTCTTCAAAAAAACGTTTGATAAAAGTCTTTAAGATTTACAGTATCCCAGATACGATTTTTCAAAGTTTGTCACTCACACCATTTTTAGGTCATTTTTCCTATTTTGCGACAACATTGTTCTATAACTTTTTTCTATGCAATTTTAGGTACATGCAATATACATTACAAAGAAAGAAAAAACAATTACCTTTAAAATGATTTACATTAGAAAGCTCTTCGAATAATTTTAAGCAAGATACGGTTCTTCAAAATTTTCAGAAACTGCATAAGAAAGCTGCACTCTTCACCTTTAAAACTCATTTTAATTTTTGCAGATAGGACATTCTGTTTAAAAGCTATCGAATTTTTACTATGGATTTAATACAAATTTTATTTTAAAAATTTATTTCACGTGGGCCAAATTCAACTGACATTCAAAATCGCCGGTCGCTTCAAGCATTGTTTCTAAGAAAACGATTCATTCTACATAAAAAGCGATAATAAACAATTTTGTTAAAGGCAGGCGTGGGCAGGCATGACAAACTTTTCATCTCTGGTGACTGGAGTATTATTTTCTTGTAAATTTGGGTATATATATATATATATATATATATATATATATATATATATATATATATATATATATACAAATCATTGTAAGCATCATAGTTTGAAAATATCTTGGTACTGTTATAATTGATCAATATTTTAGGGGTGGGAATAGGTAGCTTCTCATTTAATCTATTTTTAAATAATTCTTTTTTCTTATAGGCTTTTGAAGTTATATCTTCGTTCATTTAGCTTTTCCTTCATGTTTATGTCTATAAGTTTCTCTCTCTTCTCTTTATATTGGGAAATCTATTTTTTAACGTATACCTACCATCACCGTGTGATCGTTACCACTCAACTTTTAGAGAGTATCATCTCGCTACTAACCAACATAATCAATACATACCTAACGTTGAACTAATTTTCTTTTATAAAATTAAAACCTGGGAAGCTCAGAACCAGCAAAAAATCCTGTAGAATAATTTCTCTCTTAAATACTCCAGGTAAAGTCTATAAGAGTGTCCTCAAGAGTCCTCCAAACTTCCAATTTGGATTAAAAACTGGACTCTCTGGACTGGACACAAAGGATTCAGTACAGGCGACCATCTGCTTACGATAAAAATATTAATTGAAAAGGCCAACGAATATCACATCCCAATGTATATGGCATTTGTAAACTTTGAAAAAGCATTCGATAAGGTGGAACATTAGGCAGTAAAGAACTCTTTACAAAATGGGAGAATAGACTATAGATATATGGACTTAACATTGATTAACCAAGGGTTACATGAAGCCGAACAACTAGCCCAGAACAGAGAAGGATGGAGGGAAATTCCAAAAAAACTGTGAAGATCTGATGGTGTCACCACATCCCAAAAGGAATTAGGACTGAGGAAAAAGATATGGACTTAATTTAAAATATATATGATCAAGCAGCAACATCCATTAAAATAGTTGAACAAACGGAGCCTATTAGGATACGGCGAGGAGTCAGACAAGCTGACACTATATCACCCAAACTATTCAATCAAGCTTTGGAAGACGTTATGAGGAAATTACAATGAGAAAAACGGGGTATTAACAAAAATAGTCAATACTTGAATCATTTGAGATAGGCAGACGACATTAATAACAGATAAAAGGGAAGAATTATAAAATATGATGGATGAATTAAATAGCGAATGAACAAAAATAGGTCTACAAATAAATTATAATAAAACGAAAATTATGACCAACCAACCAAAATAATTAATAATTACAATTGCACAAAAAACTATAGAACAAGTAAAAGAATATGTATATTTGGGACAACCAGTTAAATTAAATAAAGAAAATCAGACCGGAGAAATAAAGAGAAGGATACGTTTGGTTTGGGTATCCTTCGGAAACCTTTCATATATACTAAAAAATAGAAAATACCCCCAATATTTAAAAACAATAGTCTTCAACCAATGTGTACTTCCTATTCTCACCTACGGTTCTCAAATTTGGACGTTTGCAAAGAAAAACATGGAAAAAATAGCAAAGACCCAAATAGCCATGAAAAGGCAAATGCTGAACATCAGGCTATAGACAAGAAAAGAAATACTTGGATCCGCAACAAAACAAAAGTGACCGATGTATCAACGCAGATATCAAAGCTTAAGTGGAAGTTCGCTGGACATACCATAAGACAGAAAGACGATAGATGGAATAAGATAATTATACACTGGAGACCATATAGTTACAAACGAAAAAGAGAAAGGCCACAAATAAGATAGTTAGATGACTTGAAGAAATACGCAGGCCCAAAGTGGATATAAACTGCCTACAATAGAGAGACGTGGAAGAAGGAAGAGAAGGCCTATGTCTAAAATTGGACAGCAAGGGCTGTACAGATAGATAGATCCCCTTTGCAACTGACTGCTCGTCGCCTTCATCAATCATCAATCAGCCAATCGCGTCCACTGCTAGACATA